AAAAAAAAAAAAAAGTGATTAATTAAAACTTTATTAGGTCAAATATACATAAGTAAGGTGAAAAAAATCTTTTAAAATTTAAAAGATAAAATTAAGACAACGTAATGATTATATCAAAATACCAAAAAATGACTTTTCAATTAATTAAAATTAAAATGAAAATTTCAAGATGATCATTGATTTTGCTAAAGTCGTCCGTTATAACAGGTGAAAAATAAGCAGTAACACTTTTACTTCTAGGATTTTTCTAATTAACTTATCTGAATTAATCTTCTTTCTGGAAAATCAATGGTATGGCAAAAATAACGCGATGGCGCAGATGTCGCAGCTCATTACGAATGATTGTTGGATTCAAATGTATTATGGAAATACCTTTTTCCCTGTTTACTTCTTCCTATATATGGACAAATTTCGAAAATTGGACAAAAGAAAAAGAAGACTTTGTGATAATGGAATTGTCATATAAACGGATTGTAAAGATTCAAATATCATCCTTTAAATGAACGAGAAATATGCATCAATAATAAGCGCATCTTTACTCCATCTACTTTATCATATGATGTTAGTTGTTGTGTTTATGGTTAAATAATAAATTTCTGACAATTAACCGGTTTAATTATCAGAAGTATGATTGATTTTTGGTACCATAAGTATGATCAACTGATATGATAAGCTGATGAATGATTTAGAAGGATATCAATTGTTCCACTTTTTTTCAAATATCTCAAATTTTGATTTTAAATAAAAAGTTTTACTTCTGATCGGAAGTTTGCAGTATAATTTGATAAATCATATCAGTGTTACTTATTAGTAGTATAATTTGTTCGAATTACAATTTATTTTTTATATTTTGTTCTATCTTTTTTTTAACTTTTACGTTATGCTTTTGAGTTTGTTTCAGAAGCACGAGAAACTTCTGAAGCAAAGTGCAAGAATCTCGAGAAATTCTGAATCCGGCATCTGTTCCGAATGATTGCGAGAATGTTGAAGAATTTTTCTTGATTCGGTAGGATAATTACGCAAGACGGAAGATTTTTTTTTTGAAATTCGAATTTTTTAATAGCAATGCAATATGTGTGATGAATATTTGTGTTGTTCAGTTGCATTTCCGAAATGATAACAGTATGATAGATAGTTGAATGGCTCCTACATTCCTGTAATCGAACATTTAATCACACTGATAAAATCAGAAACCGAATTCGGAATTTCTTCTTTATCTCATTCTCTCTTATCTCCTTAATTATACTATCCAAAATTAACTTTTAAACTTAAAATTTTATTTTAAAACCTTTCAATCATTAACAGTAATTAGTAATTTTCATTTCCATTTTGCATTAATTTTATCATAAATACTAAATATTACTAAATTTCTTATACTTCTCATTCACAAATGAATTCCATTGTGCATGTAAAATTCTTGTGGGAAAAAAAGCTCGATTAAGTTTTATTTAGAGAAGAAGGAGAAGACAAGAAGTGAGATCGATTGAAAAACTTTGTTAGTAGGTTAAAAAAAAAAAAGGGAAAAAATTGTTATCCCTGAGAGAGTAATTGGATTAAATACAAGCAAAAGTAAAGTAAAGTAAAGTAAAGTGCAATTGTGATGAATTAAAAAAAAAGAACTGAAGAGATGAAGAAATGACCAAATGTTTTTATTAAAAGTGGTCAAAAAAAAAAAAAAAGCAAATCGAATCATTTAACGATGTTGAAGAAATTTATTTTTCTCTTCGATGTATAAAATCAGTGAAGCGAAATTCGATGAGTAAAAATAAAATTGTAATGTAAGGAAAAAAAACTATTAGGACAAAAATTTTTTGATCGTTTCTGTTTAAATTTTAATGTTTTGCAAATTTTTTCATTTTTTTTTCTCCAAATTTGAATTATTTAAATTCATTTTGATCATTAATCAATGCTTACATTTAATTAATATACAAATTTTATTTGGATATTTTCGAAGAAAAAAAAGGAGAAGAGAATTAGTAAAAAAGATTTTCAACAAATGATACATAATACAGATGTTCCATTGGAATTTCAAAATATTACTAAGTGAAAATTTATCATTCTGATTTTTTTTTTTTTGAGTTTTTGGTTAGAAAAAAAAAAAGAAATTGGTTTATGTTTGTGTTTAAATCATTTATGGCTTATTGTTCGTTTATTACCTAACAAAAAAAAAGAAAATTGCCAAACTGTCATTTCAACTTGAATATTTTAACATTTAATCTAAGAGGGATTATATATATTTCTCATTTTAGACTACATCACTTCAATCAATGCTTTAGTTGGAAAT